GGGTGGGGGGGATTTATAGAAAACACCTTAAAATAGGATAATTATACGGAAGCTACCTTTCATTTTTAATTTATATATAAACCATTAAAGTTGGTTTTTGTTGCGATCAACCACCTCACAGTCAATTTTTCATTAAAAATCTAAAAATTTCTAGGTATGTGAGTCGTATCTTACAGAAGTCGTGTCTGCTTGTCTTTTGAAAAGTTCATGAAAACCAAAGGCAGAGATATAACTTTGAATTTACATGTTTTGGAGTTTTATTCTCATGTTTTACAGAAGTTGTGACTTATAGAGCTTGTTCTTTTGCAGTTGGAAGTATGATGGTCCTTCTGACTCCTTTAAGGCCCTAGTGGACATGGCAGCAGTGCACTCATCTTGCAGACTTTGCATTCATATTGCAACAACTATCCGAGAAAACGAAGAGAAGTCTGCCAAGTTTCAGAATCGACCCTGCAAATGTTCCAACAATAAAGGAACTACATATCACTTGTATGTCAGAGAAAGAGGTCGTTTCGAAATGGAATCCATCTATCTCAGGTAGACTTTCCCCTCTGTTTTATAATATTGCCTAGTCATGCTATTACTAGGTCATTAACATGTAAACGGTTGCGGTTAATCGTGTGGTTTACTTTGTATCAGTTGATATTGACAAGTTTATTATTTTAAAAAGGTGATATTCTAAAGGTATCATTCATGTTAACTTTTTTGAGAAGTATCAGTTTTGTATTTATTTTCAACTAAGAACAATTATTTGACATAGCTGAAATATTTATATCTTAGGGTAACTATGGGAATACTAAACTAATCGTAGTAATGGTCGGCCTTACCTATCCATCACTTCTCATTAAATTAAGAGCAACTCTGTATATTGCCAGCTGATTTTTTTTTCTGGAAAAACTAACAAATTGTTTTTCGGGAATAACGCACCAAATGATCAAACTGGTGTTGCATATCAGCTTATGGTAATTTTTTCAATGAATCATTGCAAATTTAACTCTGCTGATGGTTTTCTCATTTTGATATTTTGCTCCAGATCTTGGAAATTGACACTGAAAGAATTGGAATCAGTGGTTCTCTCTAAGTTCATGTCCCTCAACCATGTTCCTATTTGGAAGAAGGAGAGACCTGAAAGCATAAGGGGAGGAGATGAACTGAAAATTTATAGAATATATCCAGTTGGCTTGACCCAGAGACAAGCATTATACAAATTCAAGTTTGAAACTGATGAGGATCTTAGAAAACATATAGAAAGCAACCCATGCCCTAAATTCGAAGTTATTTTTGTATAACCACAGGGTGTTGATGCTGCTCACACTTGCTGGCTGAGCCTTGGGGAAATGAATTCATCGGAATTTCTGTCATTTCGTATTTTGCTGAAATCCCCAGGTATTGTAATTATATCTCCTTTAGAGAGCTCTAGATCACTGGATTTACTGCTTTTAATCTTGCTGAAAGTTACAAAGGGGAGATATTGTAAAATATTTCTTGTACTCCCAGCAACATTGCCATTCATCAAGGACCTGTCTTGATTTATTCTGTGAGGAAAATCATGTTTTATTTAGAAAACTGTAGCCATTGCTGCTATAGGGACTTCCTGATGTGGTTGAGTTTATTTAAAAAGAGTTGGTCGTGCTGAATCTTTTATTCTCTTATCAGTAAGAGCTTCGAAAAGAAAGCGTAATATATATTTAGAGATGGCTACTGAGGGGAAACTATCGTCTCCCACATCTTTTTCTTATATGACTTTTTTTTAAAGGATTATTTGATAGTCTGGGTTGAGCTTGCTTCTTGGGTTCAAAACAATTTAGTTAGGCTTCAAATTGAAGTTTGTCCAATATTCTAATTTGATCACAATTTAGGATGCAGAGGATACAAGCGAATGTTCCTCTTGGATATTTGATAGGTGTTTTGGGTGATAAAACAGTTGATGAAACGTCGCAGGTGTTGAAGTTTGTTTCAGAGGCTTCTTTGATTCTTCTGTCGATGGATTTGGTGGCGGAGCCTCTTTTAAAATCACTAGCAAACTGTTAGAATGCAAATGTACAAACTTCAGAGGCTACTTTGATTCTTTCGTCGATGGATTTGGTGGTGGAGCCTCTTTTGAAATCACTAGCAAACTGTTAGAATGCAAACCCTCGACGCCCTGATGATCCTCCAATGCTTAAAATTAGCGACTTGAATAAGAAAGTAGAAAACTAATCGAGATAAGAATGAAATTAGACTTTGTTTTTCTTACGATTGTTAAATTGTTACCTCTTTTTTATAATAACTTGATGATTCTCCAGGTGAGTTGTTAGGATGCTTCCTTTGTACTAAGTTGTTCATGTGTCCCCTTGACACTGGCTGAGGTTGTTATGATGGTAGGCAAGGGTGTGGAGGGAATAATATTTAATGATTGCCTTTGCGTCTTCACACGAGTTGCTTAGGATTCACTAGCTTACATGAGGAGAGATTTGGTCTTATCTTGCTATCGAAGATGAGCAAGGCTCGGGTCGTGATGTTTGGCGTGGTTTTTAGACGAGTTGGTGGCGACCTGAAAACCATATCGCTTGAGGTGGTGCCTGGTTTTTTTGACTTGCTGTTAGTCTTCTGGCTAGACACATGACGCCTTTTTTTTGTTTCTTAAAAGATGGCTTTATATCATAACAATAGGACACAACTGCAAGACAGGCTCCACCACACCCTGGTAGTGTCTGCCATACCCTGGTGTGGCAGAATCTGTTCTGTTTTTCAGGGGTGTGGTGTGTGCCACGCCAGGGTGTGACAGACTCGTTTTTAGAATCCCAATCTGTTTGGGATTGTGTTTTGTTATAAATAGAACCATATTTTTATGGTTTCTAAATGAGAGAATTAGCATTGTTTTGAGAACTTTGAGAGAGAGATATTGTGAGGGAGTTGAGAGCTTTGGTTAATGTTATATTTGAGTGATTTTGTGAGTTGTAACCCGTTGTATTTCTCCTCATATAATAAAATCTCCCCATCCTCTCCCCGTGGACGTAGGAAATTGCCGAACCACGTAAATTTCTGTGTTTGGTTTGATTTGTGTCGCATTTTGGTGAATTGTACTCGTGTTTGGTTTTGGTTTTCTTCTCTCATTGCTCACCGACTCGTTTGGTTGTCGAGCACGCTTTCGCACGGCGCACAACAATTGGTATCAGAGCTTAGATTTCGGATCTAGGGTTTTTGGATTAGGTGGAGGAAGATTCAGTTTGGAAGCTTGGTTCTTGGAGTTCTAGGCTTCGGTGGAGATAGGGTTTAAAGTTGCCGTTGGAGATCTCGCTTTTCTTGTGTGGTTAAGAGTTCTATTTGGAATCCGTTCTAGGGTTCAGTTGGGTAACTTCTAAATTCTATAAAGTTTGAATTTTTCTCTATAATTTGGAGTTTATGAGTATGAGTGGAGAAGTTGGTGAAAGCAGCAAGATGACGGGTACAATTCAAGTTGGTTTTCAGAACACTAAGATTAGTATAGTGAAATATAACGACAAAATCAATTTTCGTTTTATGGATGAGCGACGTACATGATGCGCTCAATGCTCAAAATTTGGAGGAGACCATCATGGTCTATGAGAGACCACCAAAATATAAAGAGGCGGTATGGGAAAAGATAAATAGGAATACTTGTGGGGTGATCAGATCCTGTTTGGAACATGAGCTGAAGTATGATGTGATTAGGGTGACGTCTGCAATAAAGATGTGGGAGATTCTCAATAATAAGTATCTTATGAAGAGTGTTGAGAACCGATTGTACTTACTACATAGATTATTCAGATTTCAAATGTCCAAAGGCACCTCACTAGCAGTTCATGTGAACAACTATACTAAGTTGTTATCGGACTTGACGAATGTTGATGAGAAGATATCGGATGAGTACAAAGGTGATTATTTTGTTGGGCGGGGCTCCTTACCGGATGAGGAGTATGATATCTTTGTGCTTACTTTGTTGAATGTGAGATCTTCTATCACTTATAGTGAAGTAACTAACGCTTTGACGAATTATGATTTGAGGAGGAAGGACAAGGAGACTTCCTGTGCTAGTACTTCAGGAGAGGCCTTGTCGACGAGAGGTGGAAGCCCATATCCGAGAGGTGGCAATAGAGGCAGGTCAAAGTCAAGAGGCCATCACTAACTAGGAAATAACCAATGTGTATTCTGTAAGGAACAGAGGCATCAGAAGAGAGACTGTCCAAAGATCAAGGAGGAGGAGAATAGAAAGAAAAAGAGCCAATGAGGTGAATGTTGCGAAAGGCGATGATTCCAATGATTTGAGCTTTTCTTTATTGATTACTCCGGAGGTGAACCACTTAGATACATCAGATTGGATGCTAGATTCTGATGCTACTTATCATGTGACTCCCAGGCGAGATTGGTTTACATCATTTGAGAGACTCGATGGGGGTATTGTTATCATGGGAAATGATCAATCCTGTGGTATTTGTGGGATAGGTACCGTGAGGATTCAGATGCACGATGGAGTAGTCCGTGAATTAAAAGATGTGAGATTTGTTCCTCAGCTGAAGAAGAATCTTATTTCTGTTGGAGCTTTGGAGGCAAAAGGATTCAAGGTGACCTTTGAAGACGCTGTAGCAAAGGTTACTAAGGGATCTTTGGTGGTGATGAAGGGAGTCCGCAGTTAGAATTTATATTATCTGAAGGGGAGCATCGAGATTGGTCAGGTTGCTTTAGCTATTTTAGAGGTGGGTATTAGCAGACTTTGGCATTACAGGTTGGGACACACAGGAAAGAAGTCACTGCAGGCGTTGTGCAAGGAGGGACTATTGAAAGGAGCAAAGAGTGGAAATGTTGAGTTCTGTGAGCACTGTGTTCTTAGCAAGAAGACGAATGTGAAGTTTGGGATGACCATTCATAGGACGAGAGGCATCCTGGATTATGTGCAAAAAGATATTTAGGGTCCCACCAAGACTACATCACTTGGTGGTCGACATTAGTTTTTCACATTCGTTGATGACTATTCTAGGCGTTGTTGGGTGTACACCATGGCAAAGAAGAATAAAGTCCTAGATATATTTATGGAGTGAAAGAAGAGGTTGGAACTGCAGATTAGGAGAAAGATTAAGACGTTGCGATCCGACAACGGCGGTGAATACACATCAGACCCATTTCAACACCTATGTCGAGACGAGGGCATAGAGAGACACTTCACAGTTAGTCATACACCATAGCAGAATGGGAGTGGCTGAGAGGTTAAATCGATCTTTGCTGGAGAAGATCCGATGTTTGTTAGCGCATAGTGGTTTGGAGAAGATCTTTTGGGCTGAGGCACTATCATATGCGAGCCACCTCATTAACAGGCTGACTTCATCTGCGATTAAGGGGAAGACCCCTATGGAGATATGATCAGGAGAGCCAACACATGACTATGACCAGCTTAAGGTATTTGGGTGCCTTGTATTTTATCATGTGAAGACTGATAAGTTAGAACCTCGAGCTAAAAATGCTATATTTATAGGATTCAAGCATGGTGTCAAGGGATATAAGCTATGTGATCTAGTTGATAGAAAAATTATGCTGAGTAGGGACGTGTGACGCCCATGGGTTCACAGAAGGCTGCAATCTAAGGTGAAACCAAGGATGTCAAACCTGCCATGCACCATACCGTGCAATAACATGTTTCACCATCACAATTACTATCTTTCTAGTAGAGTCAAATAACAGGTGTAGGTACAAAAGCAAGTAAAAGATAATACAAGAGTCAACTGATGAAATAATAGAGATCCGATTAATATTTCATCATCGAACATACTAAAAAATACAAGTCAATATATGGAATGAATAAACTGGAACTCCTCAACAAGTCTCAAATACAAAATGTCTGAATAACAGGAAATAAGGCACACAGCCTTTACAACCTCTAGAAATAAACTCTCAAAATGCCTTAACAAAAGCCTACAGTGGAGCTCAAAAGTAAAATATAACTATAGTAGAATAGCTGAAGCTAGAGTGCCTCGCCATCAACCTGCGACTCTCCGGGCTCCAGGCTCGTTACCTGAAAAGGGGAGGGACAACGAGCGTCAAAACGCTAGCGAGCAATACACAACCAACCTCAAGGGAAAAGGGCTCGTTGTATACAGAAAATACAGTTATAACACACACACACACACACACACACACACACACACACACACATATATATATATATATATATATATATATATATATATATATATATATATATATATATATATATATATATATATATATATATATATATAT